AGATTGGGAACAATTATAAAAAACAAATAGACATTCCTGATCCACCAGCAGAATATTCTAAAGATAAAAAATCAGATAATGGTAGAGCTAAATCACCCGAACCCTCAACATTTTAAGGTCTTGATTTTATTCCTGATAAAGCCTCAATAGACTGACTCAAGATTATACAGAATGAATTATGTAATTTGTCAAAAACAAAGCAAAAATTGTAGTCTTCAAACTACAGCAGAGGAATCTGCTGTTGGAGAATATAAAAATATTTGAAAATTAAATTGATATATTTTGTCCGCCACAAGAAAAAAGAAGTTCTTTGGCATAAAAAATGGCCTTGTATTCTGCTATTAGATCAATGGACTAATGAATTCAAACTTGATGAGTTGAAAATCTTTTTTGATGTTTCCAAGCTAAATTTAAAATAAATGTAATTACATAGTTGGAGTAAACAATTTCTGTTGGATATGCTGTTGCCATAAAGGAGTCTTAAATGTCAACATGCAGTTTTTCTTGATTCTATTAATTACAATGGCCGCTAGTGGCTGATCTTTCAGGATCTAAAAGTAATTTTCAACTTTCTACTAATAAAAGGGATCTAAAAGTAATTTTCAGGATCTAAAAGTAATTTCAGGATCTAAAAGGATTTTCAGGATCTAAAAGTAATTTTCAACTTTCTACTTACTAAAAGTAATTTTCAACTTTCAACAAACTCAGTTTTATGGTTCTGAGGCCGGCTGGTAGTCAGGTTTCCCGAACTCTGTGGTAGCTCTCAGAGAGGCTGATTCCATCAACAGCCGAAAAATATCAGAGTACTAACAGTGCCATGTTGCGCATGGATGGTGTCCCTGTTTGTACTTTTGGTGTGCATTGCAGAGGCCACATTTGGAGCCCTTTGTTACGGCTTAGGGTTTATTAATAGTAATGAGGCTATTGCTTAGTTGTTAAATAGTGTACTGAGTACTATCTATACTTGAGTCAAGTTCTTTATAAATTTAAAATGACTAAAGTACCTAAAACTAAAAAACACAAAAAACCATCGTCATCACCAAGTTCTCTAAACCTATCATTTACTAATATTCGTGGTCTTCGAAGTAACTTTTCTTCTGTTGAGTCTTATCTCTTGCAAAGTTCACCAGACCTACTTGCTCTTTGTGAGACTAAATTGAGTTCGGCTGTCCCATCTTGTGATCTTAGTGTTGATGGTTATCTTCCTTTAATTCGTAAAGACTCCAATAATCACATGCTTGGCCTGGGCATCTACATTCGTAAGAACTCACCCATTTGTCGTGAAACTAGGTTTGAATCTACAGACTATTCATTTATGTGCTTTCGTTTAGCACAACTTCACTCTATCGCCTTTCTCTTTGTTCTATATCGCTCTCCTTCATCCCAAGATTGCACTATTCTTGATGTTGTTTCTGATCAAATTGACCAAGCCCTCTCTCTTTATCCATCGGCCAATATCGTCGTTGTTGGTGACTTTAATGCCCATCACACCGATTGGCTTGGCTCTAGTGTCAGTGACTCTGCTGGCGTTAAGGCCCTCAACTTTTGCCTTTCTCAATCTCTAACTCAAATAGTCAACTTTCCAACTCGTTTTCCAGACAACCCTAATCATTTACCTTCTCTACTCGACTTATGTCTTGTTTTGGATCCTAGTCAGTGCTCAATTTCTCCACATTCACCCTTAGGTACTTCTGATCACGGTTTGATCTCTCTAAAACTATTATCAAATTCTTCTACTTCATCAGGATCCCCCTATCATCGTACCACATACAACTACCTTAAAGCTGACTGGGACTCTTTCCGTGATTTTCTTCGTGATGGCCCTTGGGTAGAAATCTTTCGTCTTCCTGCTGACAAATGTGCTTCTTACATAACTTCGTGGATTCAGGCTGGCATGGAATCTTTTATTCCCTCTCGACGATTCCAGGTCAAGCCTCACTCTTCTCCTTGGTTTTCCTCACATTGCGCTGCAGCAATTTCTAATCGAAACCGTTACTTCCATATCTATCAGCAAAACAATTCCCCAGAAAACAGACATCTGTTCACTATCGCCAGAAACCATTGTAAAAAGGTTTTGTCTGATGCCAAAGCTCGCTATTCCCAGGTCATTAAATCTCGTATCTCATCACAAAAATTAGGCTCTTGAGACTTCTGGAGAATCTTTAACAGTATCAATAATAAGGGCAAATCTGTTATTCCTTCTCTCTTGTATGGTTCAGACTTTGTCACCTCACCTAAAGACAAAGCTGAATTGTTTGCTAAGAACTTTTCATCAATATCATCTCTTGATTCCACTAGTTGCGTTTTACCTGACATAGCCGTCAAACAGGTTGATCCCTTGCTTGACATTCGCATCACTTCAGCTTCTGTATCTAAAGTAATTTCCTGCTTAGACTCTTCAACAGCTTGTGGTCCTGACAACATTCCTGTTGTAGTTTTGCAGAGGTGTTCTCCGGAGCTTTCATCCATACTTTCTAAACTATTTAACAAGTGCTTATCAGAGTCTTGTTTTCCATCATGCTGGAAAGCAGCATCTGTTATCCCTATTTTCAAAAATTCCGGAGAGCGATCTGATTCATCTAACTACCATCCCATTAGTCTTCTTCCTGTCATAAGCAAGGTTTTTGAATCTTTAATCAACAAACACTTAATCTCTCATCTTGAATCAAATAACTTACTTTCTGATCATCAATATGGATTTCGGTCTTCTCGTTCTACAGCTGATGTGCTAACAGTAATAACCGATAGGTTTTACCGTGCATTAGATAGAGGTGGAGAGGTTAAGGCTATCGCACTTGACATTTCTAAAGCTTTTGATAAAGTTTGGCATGCTGGTCTTCTCCATAAGCTTTCTTCTTATGGTGTAGCTGGTAACGTCTTTAAGATTATTGAGTCCTTTCTTTCCAATCGTAGTATAAAAGTTGTCCTCGATGGACAACACTCTTCTTCACATCCTGTAACTTCAGGGGTTCCTCAAGGTTCAATCCTTGGCCCTATACTCTTTTTAATTTACATTAACGATCTTCCAGATATTCTCTCATCTAAGGTGGCATTATTCGCTGACGACACTACCATTTACTCTTGTCATGATAAGAAGCCTTCACTCTCTGATTGCTTGGAGGGGGTATCTGAGCTTGAAAAGGATCTCACTTCTGCTACAGCATGGGGCTCACAGTGGCTGGTGAACTTTAATTCAGATAAAACTCAATTTTATTCGGCCAATCGTTATCGTAATAATTTAGATCTTCCTATATTTATGAATGGTAATGTACTAGATGAGTCATCTACCATTCATCTTCTAGGATTAACTCTTACTTCTGATCTTTCTTTTAACTCGTATATCAAATCCATTGCAAAATTAGCATCTGCTAAGGTTGCATCTCTTTATCGAGCTCGACACTTTCTTACTCCAGATTCTATTCTCTATCTTTATAAATCTCAAATCCGTCCCTGTATGAAATACTGTTGCCACATCTGGGGCGGATCTTCTAATGATGCTCCTTCTCTTTTAGACAAGGTGCAAAAACGAATTGTAAACATAGTTGGACCTGCTCTGGCAGCCAATCTCCAACCTTTGTCACATCGTCGTAATGTTGCTTCTCTTTCTCTTTTCTACAAATACTATAATGGGCACTGCTCTAAAGAGCTAGCGTCCCTTGTGCCATCTACTAAAATTCATTCTCGTGTTACTCGCCATTCAATTAAGTCTCATCCTTTTTCTGTGACTGTTCCTAAGTGCTTCAAAAACTCTTATTCTTCTAGTTTTTTTCCTCAAACATCAGTTCTTTGGAATTCGCTTCCTTCGTCTTGCTTTCCTGATTCATATAATTTGCAATCTTTTAAGTCATCAGTCAATCGTTATCTTGCTCTACAGATTTAGTCTTTTCTCTTCCAGTAACTTCCAACTCTTATAGTGGTTGCTTGCAGCCTTGTTGGAAGTGAAGATGTTAAAAAAAAAAAAAAAAAAAAAAAAAAAAAAAAAAAAACTTGCTGGGAATGCAACTAGGATACAGCAAGTTTTGCTGCTTTCTCTGTGAGTAGAGTAATAGAATATGGTCTAACTACTATTAAACAAAAGTATGGCTCTCAAAAGACTCTGGATCCGTTTTAAAAAGTGTACAACACATTCCACTAGTGAACTCCAAGAGAATTTTGTTATCATAATTACATATAAAGTCAGAAATTTCCAAGGCTGAGTGAGACTAAATTAAATAAAGATCTGTTTACTAATCCACAGATATGTGAACTTTTAAAAGCTAAACATTTATATAAGATCTTCCAGGTTTTTAAGAAGATTTTCTGGAAATTCTTCAAACATGTAGTTACGAACTTTTTTCAGAAAAATGAAAGCAGATAGCTATAAACTTGTGACAAGACTGTGGTCCAGTAAGTGTTGAAGATGGTGAATGTTTCCATTAGGGCATAGTGACAATGTAAAACAGATCAAGGAAAATGGAGATCTGTGATGTTAGCATACATTACTGCTGAGATGTCCTAGATGTAAAGTATAAGTGACTGGAAAAGAGAAAAAGAGCAGTGTTATGCAGAGGACTTAAATTTCAACCAAATAAATTTATATACATAAGTTTACTTGGCTGATGTATAAGTCCTCATTATATTTGTATAAAAAGGGCTTTTATTTTATTACTTAAAACTCTTATTGCAGAAAACTTATATATGAGTACTTAAAAGTGTCTTTATAACATTCACAGTAAAGTCTTTTAAAATATTCTTGATATAGATATCAAACTTTTGAAAATATAAGAAAAGCAATCTTTGTCAATATTTATAATACTTTCAATACTTCAATGCTAGAGCAAATTAATTTTATTTCTTATTCAGTACTTGAAAATGAATAATATATTCTGTAAAAGTTTATAGGCATATTTCTGTAAAAGTGTATAGCCAAATTTAGCCCGTATAACAGAATAAATTTGGCTATACACTTTTTTGTGTAGTTGACAAATTAACCTAATATAATTTATTTATTTAAACTTTAGGATGTATTTTAATAAAAGACGATACAAACATTGAACTTTTACCTCCTCAAAATTCATTCATGTACAAATCAGGCATGCGGTTAGCAAGTGATCAATCACACGAGTATAGCTTCACTCATGTTTTCAAAGAAACTACCAAGCAAAAGGAATTTTTTGATAAAACTATGTTACCATTTGTGGAAGATTTATTGGATGGACAAAATGGGCTTGTTTTTACTTATGGGGTAACCAACTCAGGAAAGGTATATACTTTTGTCCTAATCAAATTTTTCTATAGTATAGCAAAAATTAGGGGAAAAAAAATTAGGTAACCTCTCTAGCTTTAGACTCGAAAGTCTTATTTAAGGTGACTTTAAAAAAAATATATTGTCAAAGGTCATATTGTTATCCTAATAATGTTTTTAGTCATGGTTTTTGTAAAACAATTTCAAAATTTGAAAATTTAATGTATATAAAAAAAAATTATTTTAAAAATAAATAAAAAATTATGCATAAGCTTTTTATGTTTTTTGTTGATACTTTTCATAGAAGAAAACAAAAAACAAAAAAAGTAATTTTAAATCACTTAAGTATTTTTAAAATCACTTAAGTGATTTGAGTTATGGAACTACAAATAAATTTCACTCAAACACAAATACAAATTTAAAAAAAGTTTTTAATCTAATTTCATACAAATACAATATTATAGTATACCATTACCAACTACAAGTACATATTAGATCCTAACCCTGAACACAAAAAAAGTGAAAAGAGATCATGTTTAAAAACATGAACTTTTTTTGTAAATTTGCCTTGTAACCTCTTGTGATAAAATTTTTATTACAGTTTTATTTTTCATAATTTCTTATTTATCAAATATAGAAATCATTTTATTTGCACTTTCTTTTATATTTTATTTTATATTACATAAAGCCAAGGCTGCAAGCAACTATTATTAGTTAACAGAAAACAAAGAAAAGAGTTTATAAGCAAGAAGTTGACAGAAGAAGTAAAAAAAATTCTATGAGTAGAAAAACAATTATAAGTGAATTACAAATGCCTGAAATTTGAGGGAAAAATAGAGATAATAAATATTTTTTAGACATGAAAGAACTTTGATGATGTGATTTTGCCGATGACAAGTCATGCAAGATTAAGTTTTGGTTGATGGAACAATTCTATGATAGCTGATGACCACTTTAGCAGACACCAAAGGTAGTATTTGTAGAAATAGATTCATTCTTTTGACAATGGGACATGCTTAAACTTAGCAGCAATAGGTTGTAAAATTTGAAGGATTTTAGGTTGACACTGCTGTACTTAGCTGACATCAGGTTGGCCAAAAGTTTATTTGGATTTTTTGCTTTCTGTTATGAAAAGGGCAATGATTAATTGATTTTAAAAGCATTGCTTTAAAAAAGCATAGCTTCAGACAACAATATTTTAAAGAATGTGCCATTAAACTTTATGTAAGCATATAACAAATTTATGATTTTTTAGTTTTGAAGTTGTTTTTTAACAAAAAAAATCATAGTTTATTTATTACATTTTTATTGGTTTTTTAGATTAATTATAGAAAGAACAAAGTTTAGAAATACAAATTTAGATAATGTGCTGTAGGCGAAGATTTTTTTAAAAGTTATTTAAAAAATAAGTAGACAGTTTATACCTGTTTGCAGTTTACATCAAATTGTTCTAACCTCCGCGAGGAATTTGAATTTACTTCTCCTACAGTAGCTGTTTTTCATTTTTTTTTTAAACTCTTCGAAATTGTAAATGATCTGACCCTTTAAAAACATGAAGGGAAAAAAAAATAATTCTAAAATTAGCTGTTTTTCTTGTTTATAAACAATGTTTCCGATGGTGATTGTTTATAAACAATGTTTCCGATCAATGGTGATTGTTTATAAACAATGTTTCCGATCAATGGTGATTGTTTTGAATGAATTTAATGAAAACCTTAAACTTGTATCAAATTTAAAAAAAGTTTAATGTTTTTTAATTAACATGTTTCTCCACATGTGTTTAACATAACTATACCAAGACTAAAATAAATAGATTTTCTGTTCTTAAATAATATTAAAAAACCATAAACATGTAAATGAACTGTTTTAATAAAATAAATTAACATTAGGTTTTAAAACTTAATAAAGTAATAATCACACTATAATTTTGAGTAAATAAAGCGTAAGAACAACAGACATTTGATTTTTATTAACTTTTAAATAAATTAATGACCTTGCTATGTTTAAATAAATTTAATATAAATAAATATTTTGAATAAAAATTTTTTTTTTAATAAAACTTGTCAAACTTAAAAAAACAAGTAATTGTTTTTTTAATTACTAATTATAATTAAAATATGAACTGATAATGAGCGAAGATTTTTTACATATATTTAATGCGATAAGGGGAAGAGAATCCAATAAGGGTGTTTTCATTCTTTAATATAAGAATATCAGTATCATTGTGATATTTATTTGCAGTAAACAACTGAATTTGAAACTCACCAGATACTGTAAGCCCAAGATGTCACAGACAAGATTGCCTGCTTGTTCTAAGCAATCAAAAATGATGACTTGCCAAGAGGGAAGTATATAGTTGTGTCATTAGCAAATAAAATCATTTTAAAAGTAAAATTATCAAGATTATCATAGAAGCACTATTCATTGCTGAGCAGAGAATACTGTCAACAATTTTCACTATTTTATACTGTCACCAATGGTAAATTAGTAAAAAAATATTTACTAGGTTATCAGTAACTTTTTTTTAAAAGCTCAACTTTTTATATATATTCATCAGGTAAAAGAACAAATTTAAAGCAAGGACTTGGGCTAAGCTTATTATAATTCGTGCCTAGGTGTTTATTTAAAAATTTAATTTTTTTATAGACCTATACAATCCAAGGAGTACCTGAAGATGGAGGAATTTTACCTCGCTCTCTTGATGTAATTTTTAACAGTATTAAAAAGCAGAGATACATTCGTGCAAATATAAAGCCAAAGTTTTGTAATGAAGTCACTTATCTAACTGAAGAAGAAGAAATACAGGAAGATTTGATTAAAAAGTCAGTTTTGAATGCTGTTGAGGTAAATTTATTTATTGATTTTGTCTTCAATATTTTCACTTCAAATAAAAATTTGGCACAACAATAACACCCAAAACTAGAGATTAATTAATACTATGATAAGTAATTTTAAGGTTAATATATGTCCCTATCAAAACTGTTGATGAATGTACACCCCTTATGGATTTTTTTCATTAAAACCATGAAAAAAACCATGAAATTTCCATTGGGATTTAAAACAGCATGAAACAAGGTTTTCCTATGGAAAAAATATATCAATAGAAATATCTTAGGTTGTTTTCATAGGAAACCCATAAAAATAACACATGGTATTTCCAAGAAATACCATATGTTGTTTTCATATGCAACCCTCGGAATTAGGATAAATGAGGTCGGCAATAATTTGCCAAACTCAATTTTTTTGAGGGTTGGCATCAGGTCAGCAAAGATTATTTGATACAAAGGGCTGACCATAAAACATAGAAACAAGGTCAGCAATTTTTTGTCGACCTCAAACATTTTCAGGTCGGCAGTTAGGTCGCATTGCCGAATGCCAACCCAAATTCCAAGGGTTGCATATGTTTTCCATGAAAAGTTATTATCTATGGATTTTCAAAGTAGCCATATACTAATTGAAACTAGCAAAAAGCAACCTGTAATACGGGTTTTGGTCAGTCTGTTACATAATTAATTTATAGTGGCTGTTTTCCACAATTTAATGTTGCAAAACCTTAACTAATACCCTTTTAGAAAAACGCCTTCAGCTTGAAAAAGTTAATCCATCTGTAAATTTAACATAAAGCAATGTATGAGGTAAAATAATTTACCAACTACTACTTAACATTTACAATTACTACTTAACATTATTTGAGTAATTAAACAACTGACATAGGTCATAACAGTGTAAGGAAGAACCATTTTCATCGACCTTCCTAAGTTCAACACAATACGTTTTTAGTTACTGACACAAAATAATAACACTTCATCATGCTTTAAATTGACAAAAGTATCAACTAAATCCTTGTAATAATTTTTATAACATGAACCATTAAGACTATAATGAAGTTAACTTATATTATACAGGAGTTATCAATTTTTTGGTATCCCCTTAATTAATTTTTCTTTAGAAAAGAAAATTGTTAACTTAAAAATGTTAAATGCACACATTTAAATAAATTTATAAAAAATAACAAAGTTTATTAAAAATAACTAATTTTGTTATAAATAACTAAGCAACTGAGTACAAATACGTTTCAAACAAAAAAAAAATAATAATTTACAATCAAACATGGGTATAATAAATTTGAAAAAATATGTAAACTTAATGCATCATATGACAAACCTAAAATAAAAAATATAACAGATAAGTAGACATAAAAATTTGTAAACCAAGCTGACCCGACTCGGGTCTTGTAAAGTCTGTTCAACACAGACCATTTCTATATATTATTTGTTTGGCCTCTTTATTTCATTAATTTTTAGTAAACCATAATTTGCCACCATTTACTAAAAATTCCTTATGTTACTCGAAATATAATTTTCCTAAATATTTTGACACTAATAAAGAGGTTTCTCCCCTTTTTTTGCTTTAATGGTGGCCAGGTGAGTAGAATTTTTTTTTATTAAAAGTAATCATGTTTTTGATGAAGACCTTTTACCAAAATAATAAAATGTAAAACAATGATTTACATATATTCTTATATGTCTTATGTTTTCTTTCTTTCCTCAAAAGTGTTGCAAATACAGACTAAGCTAACTAATTAGTTAAACACATAAATAAAACTTAAGTAACTCGATATTAAATGCGCAAAACTACAATATTCTCCATGTTTTTAAAGGTTTTTAGTTACGACCCCCCATTTACAAAGATCCCCTTAAAATATGTACAACAAATTATTAGGCATAAAATAGATAAAATGTAAAATTAACTAATAGCATATATTATATCTTTTTAACTAACAAAAATTTACAATAAAAAGAAATCAGGTTTTTTTATTTTATAAATCTTATAAATGCGTCATAACGTAAATCTAAAATAAAAAATTAAGGAAATTATGATATCATATTTACAAAGAAAAAAAAGAAAAAAAAACCACCACACAATTACCGAAAAATAGATTTACCTATTTATAGTAACCTATTTTGAAATTGCAATTAATATAAAGATTTATCAAAAATGTGACTATAAAATCTGTTTTGAAGTACAAAAGCATTAACAATATAAAAAAAAAAAAAAATCAAACTAAGATATAAATTGTTGTCTTGGCTTTTAGTAAATGAATAAAAGCAGTAAATTCTAATAATGAAACTATTATTCATTTTTAACAATAGACACCACATGAATGAAAGCTGTTTATCAACACAAAAAATCACAACAATAACATTGCAACAATAACAAATAACAATAAAATCCAATGAAAATAATAAACTAAATTAAAATATGAAAGGCAAATTAAAAAACCAATTTAAAATTAACTATATTTATCTTTTTACTAAACTTTAATAAAGTATATTTGTTTTCATATTCAATATTAGTTATTCAATTATTTCAAATTTAGGACATTAAAGCACCCTAGATTTAAAGATTAAGGTTGCATACTCTCTCATCCACAGTACGCTAAACATTAACAGACATGTGTTTCCAGAATAATTAAAAAAAGCTAGACAACGCAACCTAGCTCTAAAGCAGTAACACCGCCTGGCACTAAATGCTGCCAAATCACACCTCTGCTTTAAGTACTCCGCAAGGTTATCAAACTTGTTTTACATAATACCAAGACACACCACTTTGAAAACATGGAAAAAACATAATTTAAACATATATACAACTATAAACAAATATGATTTTATGTAACACATATAAACACATTTTACAGTTATTGAATGACAGATTTATCAAAAACTATGAAAAAAAAAAAGATAAATAAAGTTATACATACAAAATGTGCTCACAACCTTTAACAGAAAATATTCAAAATAAAAACCTAAAGACTATAAATTAAGAACATTAGAAAATATAACAATATTTATGTAACATTTTTTTACCTACTATACGTTGTTTATCAATTTTGAAAAACAAACTATTAAATGCTCTAGTTCTTGAACATGCAACATATAGTTGACCATGAGAGAAACACGGTTTTTGAGATATTTCTTTTGTCTATATGTTTATTTTCGCGTTATGTAATATATAGATGATTCCTAAAGTAAAGTACTCAAAACTAAAAAGATTTTATTTATTACAATATTTGAACAACCAAGGGACAATTTAAAGAATTATATCTTTAAATAGCAAGCAACTCGTAAATATATCTTATAAATGGTCATTATCAATCGCAGTAAGCAAAATAATCAAGTGATGAAAGACAACTAAAAAAAAATGAACACAATTGTGTTTAAGATTACAAAAAAAAAAAAAAAAGATTTAAAATTGAAACTGTTATTATTTGTTACAATAAATAGTAAAATTCATACTTTGCTTTATTTTAAAGTGTCTAATGTAAAATCAAATAATAGACATCAACACCTCTTGACACTGAATTCTGGCAAGTAAGTTTTCTGTTCATCAAGCAAAATTTCTTATATTTCAATGACAATTGATTTTATCACGCCTAGATCTATCTCTTTTATATGACAACAATTTCAAGTCACCTATACACTAATAACTTCTTTGAGTCTAAAATTATACATCTGTTATCATTAAACATATTACCAGTGATTATATTACTGTTACAACTGAATAGATAAACGTTTTATATTTTTACAACTGAAAAATATAAAACAAAATTTATTTAAATTATTTAAATTTAGCAAAGAATTTAGACTACAATACAAAGTTATTTTTACCTTCAGACACAATTTTAATGCACAAAAATAATAAATGCAGAATCTTGTATAAAAAATGAAGCAATGTCAGTCTAAAGTAATATATGTATGTATGTATGTATATATATTCAAATTTTTCTATTCTTTTTAATTTTTTCTTTGAGATAATATTTATATAGATACAGAGAAATATAAAATTTAATGATATATAGGCACATTTATGTATATAAACTTACCTGTCAAAAATTACAGTCAGTTTATTTAAACAAATTAAATTAAACAGAGAACAACTTTGATTCTCCTCGAAAGCTGAAAAACTTTTCAGCTCAAATTTGCTTGCAGACCTTGCTTATAAAACCACTTGAATAAGAAAAGCACAAAAAAAGCCTAGAAGCTACTTAAAAATGGTATATGCAACATTGACCTATAAATGTTGACTGGAGTAGATAATTTTAAAAAATTCATAAAAATTCAAAATGATTTGTTCTTCTATAGCAAATAAATACACCATAAATCTGAAGTTAAAAATGTAACATATAAGTAAATACAAAGAAAAACATATGTGAATTGAAAATCAATGTACCTGATAGAGATAAGCTGTTGTGATACCTGAGAAGTAGTTGCTAAATACTGTTATTTCATGATAAACAAATTGTATTTATAGCGAAATGATGTCTTGAATGAATTTTAGTAAATAAATAAAAGCAGTGAGTTCTAGTAATGAAACTACCTATTAATCATTTTTAACAGCTGACACCAACGTAAAGATAAGCCAAAGGTAACAACATTACGCAAAAAATTATCAAAGATAATGCTATGTGTTTTCAGAAAAGTTATTTTAAAGGCTAGGCAACACTTAGACCTAAAGCAGTAACATCGCTTGACTGGTAAGGTTGACAAATCTTGCTCTACACGTTTGCCAAGTCACACCACTTTGAAATCATGGAAACAACATTATATAAACATATATACCAATTATAGAACACAATATATTTTTTTAATGTTACTTAACATATAAAAACACCCCATTTAACAATCATGCACAAAATTAGATATAATACATTTCATACTATTAAAAAAACACATTTATATAAACACATTTATAAAACAACTATATAACATATATCACCACATACACGTATTTATTGAAATTTTTTAAACTTTAAGCATAATAAACATGCAAACGTATATGCAAAC